CTACTGAAGCTAGAGAGGTGGGCAGAGTAAGTCTGATTCCCTGTGGACTTCTCTGTTGACATCCACCCCTTGTCGCTCATTTGACCTTATGCCGTTGGGAGTGCCATAAAACCTTTAATAAAACTAAAAAACATTGTTTCATATCAAAAGTATGAAATAAAGATTTTGCTATGTTTTTCTTTTTTCAACAGCTATTAGTATTGCTCAGGAAGCAAACAAAACCAGTGGACCCCTTTTGAAGGAATTCAAAGCTACACTTGAAACTCCCGAGTTCCAGTCCAAGATTGACGGTTTGAAACAGAGAGTTGAAGCATTTGCTGTTGGCTTTCCTTTACCTGGCTTTGATGACTGGTAAACCTTTACTATCACTGTCAAGGCTACATTATGAATGTTTGTAAGTGTAATTCGCAAGCCATATATTTGCATTTGTTATTTCTATTAGGTTAGATGGCTTGTATGTACACCAACAAAAGATGGAAAGTTGTGACAGTATAGTATACTGTGCGAGATTGAATAGCATGGGTCTCATTTTTCTGCTGTTGTCAGATGATAGAACAGGTTTTTTCTATTGTCCTGAACAGGACATATTTACAGTTTATTTCCGGCTTTAGTAAGTTCCTTTACTTCATGTGTCGGCAAATGAGTGTACTTTTTTTTTTTGCTGAGTGAGGGCTCCGGTTGTGGCCACTTCTTTTGTAATCATCACTGGCTTCCATTCCAAACAAAAATGTCTGACATGTGATTAGACTGATCTGATATTGTGCATCCCAGCCGTTGTATAGAGTGCAGGTTAAGAATAAAACTTAAAAGAGGTCTCATGTTAAAGCATCAGGGTGTGTTCAGGGGAAACTTTACGAATGTTCAGTGTTGAAGCTTTAAAAAAAAAAAAGCAGACAGGCTCAACGGTGTACCACCATGTGTTGTTCCAGAGGAGACTATAACATGAAATGGTTTTGTTGTCCTTGGGGTGGTTCGAAATGTCAATATGGGACAAAGCATTTTCGGAATAGTGGGATGTTAATTACGGTTTGAAACTAGTCACTTAAAAGACTGGATGTGACCATCACTTGATCCTTCACTCACATTGTAGCAGATCACAGGGCTTGTTTAGCTTGTCAACTGTATGGTACAGCCCTTTTTTTTTTTTAGATTCAATTTAACGTACGCTGTACTTTTGTTTCTTGTGATTAATTCCCACTAAGTATTAAGAACAAAGAAAGCTCATACACTACTTTTGTACATTTTCCATGACAAGATATGTGAATTATTATGATTAGCATTACTTACTGTGAAAAGCTCCTTGTGAATTTGTCATGGTAGTGTGCCATACTGTTGTTTGGGCTTGTAAAGAATGATGTTACGAGATGAACATGTGGGATCGTTTGATGGGGAATATTGATCTCCTACAAGATGAGGTTCTGGTTCTCAATAAATTTCTCTATAAAACAAAAATTTCCAAAGTTTTCCTGAATTTGTTCATTTTGTTTCATTGTTAGTTTTTTTTTTCCCCCTTGAATTTTTGGAATCCTTTACGTAAATATTTTTGTTTCTTGGAGTTCATTGATGAACACTTCTTAATTGAGAGGGCCTGTTGTCATCAGAAATCAGTAAGATTTCTTACAAATGAAATTGTCACTTACTTCAATCATCAAAGTGTCATGGGTTTTCAGTTTTCAGTGGGTAAGTATGGTTGGTTAGATTGTTTTTCAAGCTTGTAGTCATTGGCTAGATAGTCCATACTTTAACAAACATGAGTATACCTCAGGAAGTAAATAGTGGGTGGTTGGCGGGTGCTCTGGTGTGGTTTGCTCCTTTCCTATCAAACTTCTATCGTCCTTATCTCCCCTCCTTCTATTTTGTGTTTATTACTCTCTTGTAACACCTCTAATCTTTGGTACTTAAATGACCTTATTTTGTTGCCGGTACCGTAAAACTCTTACTAAAACTAAACTAAGGAAGTCAATAATTCTTTTTGGCACAGATTTTTTCTGATGTTAAGTATGCAACTTATATACAGTGGAAACCTGATATAATAGGGATGGCGGGAGTAAAGAAAATGTCCTGTTATATCCGATCCCTGTTAAATCAGAAATGCAAGGAAAGTAAGCATTTGTGGACGAATCCAGCTGTACTTATTAATGGATAGTTTCCCTTGCCACAAGTACCCACGAACAGAGGTTTTGGCACCAACTTTCTCCTAGCCTCCTTTAACCACACCAGAAGAGCTTGGTCCACAGCATCTCCATCGGGTAGTCTCATCTTCTTTCGACCCAGAGCAAACTTTCCATTGGAGTATGCTGCCACAATCTTGTCTCTATCCTTGATAATGGTGTGAATCGACCCTTGTGGAAAGTCAAACTGACGACAAAACACTGCCAGTGGAGCTTGCTTTTTGTCAACAGCCTGGATTACTTCGTATTTTTGTAAATTGAAAGGCATTTTCTCTTTCGCTTGACATCGTTGGTGACTTGTTACGCGTGCGTGTTGCTACATGTAGGTTTCGAGCTAGATCGAGGTCTGCAGCACACCACAGCCCTCTCTCGCTTCACATGCTGCGTGTGCTTGCAGTGGCATGCTTGCGTGGGCTTGCTCCATCACTGCGCTACTCTCTCTCTCTCTCTCTCTCTCTCTCTCTCTCTCTCTCTCTCTCTCTCTCTCTCTCTCTCTCTCTCTCTCTCTCTCTCTCTCTCTCTCTCTCTCTCTCTCTCTCTCTCTCTCTCTCTCTCTCTCTTTACACATTGTTAACAAGCCTTTATCCCTGCCATAACCGGTTGGGCTCTGATGAGGCCCTGTTATTGCCGATAACTTTTAATAGTGACAAAGAATAGGAAAAAACGGGGATTAAAAAACCACCTGTTATAACCAGATCCTTTTTTATTACCGGGCCTGTTATACAGTGGAATCCTGTTATAACGAAAGGGAGGGGACCGGAGCAAAATGTGCGTTATAGCAGGTTTCTCGCTATAAGGGATCCAGTAATAAGTTCAAGGGAAACTGTAAAGTACGCCTAATCTATGAGTTTGGTGTTCTGTTTTTCCTTTTGCTATCTCCCCTGATGACGATTTTGTTTCAACATGACCTCTAGGTCTTACTTGATCAAAAATCGAATCAGGTTTCTTTCTCTAGCGCTAGATCTAGCGATGTGGACTGACAGCTCGGCGTTGGCGATCAGAAAGGAAGGGCTCCGGGCTAACTCACCCGCTGTGTTTTCCCCCACCCCACCACACCCTGTCGTGCATTCTGTCTGCTTGCGCACGTCACACATTTGCTCCGTCCATCACATTGCTGTAACCTCTCCATCCCCCCATCGGAGAAGTGAGAGGCATGGTAGGCCTTGATAATCTAAACTACGCTTACGCTGGCACATCAAACGATGCGTTCTGCTTGTCTGCGCATGCCACACCATCCCTACTCAGTTGCTCCGGCCTTCATTATTGACGCACATGGGCTCTCCTTTTCTTTGTTTCGCAAGATCACCAACAAATTTCTCAACTGGCGAGGTTTTACGTTATGTATAATTGGCCTATGCACTGTGCACAGCAGCAGCAATATTCCGCTATAACTGACTCTCATGTTTGTCTGATAGCGCTATAGCAGTATTTTATTTACAAAGGTAAAGAAGAGAAAAAAACGGGGTTTTAGAATAATGTCTTTATTACAGACTTCTCGTTTTTTCCGGACTCGTTATAAGTGGACTCCACTGTATATGGTTTCCACTGTATTGAAGACATAAATAGACAGACAGAAGAGTGATCAAAGGCCAGGTGGTAATTGATGTGGTAGTTTGGTTGCTGTTTCAACCTCCTCCTTTTCACTTAAGTGTAAGTACAGTGGAATCCACTTATAACGAGTCCTGAAATAACGAGAAGTCTGTTATAAAGACACTATTCTAAAACCCCGTTTTTATCACTTCTTTATCTTTGTAAATAAAATACTGCTATAGCGCAATCAGACAAACATGCGAGTCGGTTATAGCGGAATATTGCTGTTGCTGTGCACAGCGCATAGGCCATTTATTCTTGCAAAACCTCGCTTGTTGTTGGTGATCTTGCGAAATAAAGAATGGGACAGCCCATGTATGCCAACAATGAAGGCGGAGCAAATGAGTGGGGAGGATGTGGTATGCACAGACAAGCAGAACTCATCGCGTGATAGGCCAGCCTAGTCTAGATTATCTAGGCCTACTACGCCTCTCACTTCTCCGATGCGGGGATGGAGAGGTCACAACGATGTGACTGTGATGGATGGAGAGAATGTGTGGCGTGCGCAAGCAGACGGAACGCACCACAGGGTGTGGTGGGGTGGACAACACAGCGGACGAGTTAGCCTAGAGAACTTTATTTCTGATCTCCGACGCCGAGCTGTCAACATCGCTAGCGCTAGAGAAAGAAACCTTATTTGATTTTTGATCAAATAAGACCGAGAGATCATGTTCAACCAAATCATCATCAAGGGAGATTACAAAAAGAAACGAACAGACAACCAGACTCATAGATTCGGCCTACTGCAATATTTCCCTTGAAATTATTACTGGGTCCCTTATAACGAGAATCCTGCTATAACGGATGTTTAGCACCGGTCCCCTTCCTCTCGTTATAACAGGATTCCACTGTATAATTCAAATTTTGTCTGTAGTTTAGGAATTGTAAATTAGACATTAAGTTTCTTTTTATCTTGCTGCAGTTTGATTTATTTTTTATATTTTTTTTGCTGCGTTGAAAAACGAAGCCCAGTCCTTGAACTGACGGATACCCATCCCAACACAATTTTGATAATTTTGGAGGCAGGATTTTTCTACCTGGGCTGAGATGAGAGGAATACAATATTCCCATAGACAGAGAAAAAAAACTTCCCACGTAGGAATCGAACATGTCAGACTGGGGCGGCAAGACACCTACCCACTACAACTACAACACAAACACTGGTGGAGTTTTCTGTTGGCTGTTATTCGTTCACTGTTAATTACCCATAATGTGAAGATACTGTCAAGACAATAATCTTCACATTATTCCAACATGCTCTGATTTTGCACAGAAAATTGACATGTTTCTCATGGAAGAATCACATTAAAGATTTAGTTTATATTATATTATAAAATGATACACACTTGCTCAAGATACCGAGGAATGTCTTTTTCACTACCTCCTTCCATGACACTTCACCAAGGTTAAACAAAATAAACCTTGACTGACCTCACGCAACAAATTATGCACAGACATAAAAGCTTAAAACTGCCAACAAAATACCTAACAATATATCCCGATGCAGAGAAAATCTTCACTGATAGCTCTCAATTGGACTAGGCTGTCGACACCGCTACCCTATTCACAAACAACGCTCAACAGAGGAGGCACCATTCTTAGACCTCCATTTTTTCTGTGGAGGCCATGGCTATTGACTTGGCATTGGACTTTGTAGAAAACTCCCCAACTCCAAGATGATCTTTTCTACATGTAATTCCTTGCCTTGTCTCACTTCACTCAGCTATTTCACTTAAACTTAAATCCCAAAATCGTGAAGCTTCAGTTAAGCAGTTAAGGATTCACTCCTTGACTGAAAAGGGAAAGCCATTATTATTATTATCCTTGTGTTTGCATGTGTTTGAATGGTAGAACATGGACATCAATGTTTTATCAACTTGAAAATACTTTAGCTTTCTTAGAAAAAATAGTCTTTTGTTCACTTTTTTATGCAGGAGAGAAGTGTGGACACGCCAGTTGAGTTTGTTGTCTATTGTAACACCCAAAAAATTAGAGGTGTTACAAGAGAGTAACAAACTCAAAAAAAAAAAGGAGAGATCAGGACAATACATGTAGTCATGTAGATGTTTGATGGGAAAGAAGGAGCAAATCACACCAGAGCACCCGCCAACCACCCACGGGGGGAGAGTGGGTCACACAGGATGGAAAACTAAAGACTATTATTAATTTTATCAGCAAATCTCATCAAGAATGAAGCACTTGTGTAACGTATATTTTGTGATGTCAACTTTAAAAGATTACTCAAGAAAGAATGAAAATGTTATTTGTACTGTCAAAACGTTTTTTGGGTGTAGTTTACATTACAAAGGGTAGTTGTGTAGACTGGGTTGAATTTGAGAAGCCCCAAAGGGGAGGTTTTGTGACTTCATTCATTTAGAAATGTATTTTTCGGCGAAGTCAGCATGTAATTTTACTTCTTTGGCTTGTACTTGTAGGTTGCTTCAAGTGATGGCCTATGTTAGAAGCGCGTAACATGTTAGGCTACTGTCGAAAGGTTTTCTGGAATAATGTCTACAATGCCATCAGTGTCCCAGTTCCGGTTTTCTTCTTAGCGGTAGCCTACTGATTTCCTTCTTTTCGCCATTCAGAAGAGAGTTCTATTTTCTTTTATTACTCTTACATTACTGCCACAGTAGTAAGTGCCATGTCCCCACAGTACTTGTATACCAGGATTGGAGGCTGGTTACAATG